TGGGGGAAACCTCTAATTGTCCTTATTAATATTTAGGCTCTGAGATCAACCAACAAAGTACTCTTAACTTTTGTCGAGAGATAGTATTGGCCTTAGATTCAGACAACATGGTTTCAAATGTCACCTCAGACACTTATTACGTGACCAAGGATAAATCATAACTTCTCTAAGCAGCCTTCATTACTTTATCTGTAAAATAGAGACAATAATACTTGTGGTACCCTCTTCACAGAGTTGTTGTGAGACTGGCTTTGTTATACTTACAGCTTGTGGTAAATACATTTAAAATATTGTTCTATTACAAAAATACTTTTTGACTCTATGAAAATCTGACTTACAAGCTTTGCAATTAATACAGTATATATCAATACTGGTCCCAATAAATAGGGTTTAAAGATGGCCACAATAACATATGCTATGATTTAAACATATGATTCAAATTTGATTTGATTTAAATATTATTTAAATATATATTAGGTGATTAATTGCAGTTGCCACAAAATACTGTATGTAACTGTCCCACACAAGTAAACATGTATATTTGTTGTTGTTGTTGTTCAGTTGTGTCTGACTCTTCATGACTCCATTTTGAAGTTTTCTTGGCAAAGATTTGAAGTGGTTTGCCATTTCCTTCTCCAGCTCATTTAACTGATGAGGAACTGAGGCAAACAGGGTTAAGTGATTTGCCCAGGGTCACTCAGCTATTAAGTGCCTGAGGACAGCTTTTAACTCATGAAGATGAGTCTTTCTGACCCCAAGCCCAGTGCTTTATCCACTGTGCCACCTAACTGCCCAAATATGTATATTAGGGTTCTTCGAAACATAAATACTTCAAAAATGTCCACATTTTTATCAAAGACTTGGATAAAAGCATAGATATCATGCTTATCAAATTTTCAGATGTCACAAAGCTGGGATGGATAGATAGCACATTGAGTTATATTATTACAATCCAAAAAGATTTTGATAAGCAAGAACATTGGCTGGATCTAGGAAGATAAAATTTAATATGGATAAACCTAATGTCATACACTTGGTTTGAAAAAATCAACTTCACAAAAAGGAGATGGGAAGGCATTACCAGACATTAAATCAAATGAAAAATGATGTGAATGCTAGCTGAATATAAGCTAAATATTAGTTAACAATATGATATGGCAGCCCCCTCCCCTCTCAAAAAAACTAATACCATCCTTGGCTGCATTAAGAAAAATAAAGTATCCAACAAAAGAGATGTAATATTCCTTTGTGGCTGTTTGGTTGTGATCCCATGAGCTACGCACAGTATGCCAGGCCCTCCTCTCTTCCACTATCTTTTGAAATCTGTCCAAGTTCATGGTCGTTGTTTCCATGATACTATCAATCCATCTCATCTCTGCCATCCTCTTTTCTTTCTGTTTTCAATCTTTCCTAACATCAGGTCTTTTCCTATGAATCCTGTCTTCTTAATATATCACCAAAGTATTTAAGCTTCATCCTCATTATTTCACTTTTCAATGAATAGCCTGAATCAATTTCTTTAAGTATTGACTGATTTGATCTCCTTGCTTCCAAGGGACTCTCAAATGTCTTCTTCCAGCACCACAATTCAAAAATTCTGTGGAGCTCAGCTTTCCTTATAGTCCAACTCTCACAGCCATACACTACAACTGGAAAAACAATAGCTTTGACTACATGGACCTTTGTTGGCAAGATGATGTCTCTGCTTTTTAGTATTCTGTGCAATTTAACGAGCAAGCTTCCTTTAATTTCATGGTTGTAGTCACCATTCTACCTAGTCACATTACATCAGGAGGGACATTTCAAGGAACACAGGGATAAAGAGGAGAGTGTCCAGAGAACAGTAAACCAGAATCGAGTTCAGGATCATGGTATAACCCCATCATTTGGAGGACCTAGGTATATTTAGACTAGAGACAATGACTTGGGAAAGATGAGAGCTCACTTAGGTATTTAAGGACTGCCATATGGGAGAAAGATTCTGCTAGACCCCAAAGGGCCCAAGTAGAGGCAAAGGACAGAAGTACAAGTAGCAAACAGGAAGATTTTGGCCTGATGTAAGAAATAACTTTTTTATAGCTACCCAAAAGTGAAATAGATTACCCAAGGGGAAAATAGGTTCCCCCTCACTAAATTTCTTCATTCAAAGGCTGGATGAACTCATCAGAGATGTTGTAGAGAGTTCCTGTTTGGGTACAAATGTGAGACTAGATGACCTCTGAGATACCTCCCAATTTAGAAATTCTGCACATCAAGCACAAACATCCATATGGATGAAAGTATAAAATAATCAAGATTTCAGAATCTGCTATTTATATGAACAGCATGAAGTATATTCAGTGAGAATTTTAAGAGTAACCAGGTTTGGGAACAATATGGCTATGATTATAATTTATTATAGTTTTTGATGGATACCAATAATTGGCAAAGTAAATTTAAGAGCACACAAAGTGATTATCTAAATGTCATTTGCAAATAGGGAGCTTTATCTAAATGAAAGGATGCTGTCTTTCTCTAACTTGATTTGTACAAGATCCTCCCAGTAACCTTATCATCCCTACGAAATTTTTATCAATGGGGTATTTTCTTTCTATATCTGCTTGTAAATTGTATGTGATGAAAGTAGGACCTGAACTTTCCTGCCACCATTCATTCAGAAAGATAAATTGACTATAATGTCCGTCTAGCTAAATCTTCATACTCAAAAAGCAATGCCTTGCTAAATTTCAGATCAGATAAATGAAAATTCAGCAATTTAAGTTCCATTTCAGATGAAATGTTATGATTTTAAATTATGTTTATGGCCATTGGGGGAGTCTGGGAAGGGGAGGAAAATAGTTTTGAGTAAAAATATTTAAAAACATGTGTGAGCCTCTAGGCTTCATCTTTCACAAACCACTCCTAAACCATCATTACTTTGTATTGTATTGGGGTTCAAAATTAAATATAATACTACAAGTTCCTCTAAAAATCTATTATCACAGCTGAAAATGAACCATCTGGATGACACATACTTCCCTACTTTCAGTAGAGAAGTGGAGGACTATGGCTACCAAAAGTTGCATATACTGTCAGGCACAGTTGTTCTGTTAGTTAATCCTACTCAACTTTACTTATTACAAGAACGGACTTAATGAAAGGATAGTATGTTAGAAAGTGACTACAATGTAAAAAAAGAAGTACAAATAAAGTTTTTTATAATAAATGAAAAAATAAGATCAAACATCTGCTTGAACTGATCCTGGACGATCAGTTTTAGTTATTTCCAAAAACAAATAGCAAGCCCACAACTCATTCTTTTGTAACGGTACAGATGTAAGTAGCAGATACGTGTAAATATGGACACAAAAGTGAACATATGTGAAAGAAAATACTTTGTTATCATCCTTCTAAACCTTCTAAACCTTCTAAACCACAAGTTAGAATCTTTCAGGCCACTCTACCTGTGAAATTTGTTAAGCATTTAACTTGTTAAGGTAAAACTTTCAAAGTCTCCACCTCACTGGGAAAATGGGTGTTTATTAGAGTTTCTGCTTTGGGAACAAATTAACAGTTTTCTGTTTTGCATTATGGGGGGGGATGAAAATATTTTGTGGTATGGAATATTATTCCCATAATTTATTTACCATTTAGATAAACTTTGTTCTGAAATCATAAAGTAAATATCAATTCTCACATAGCATACTTTGACAAAGGTGTCATTTATTTTTCAGAAAAATTAAGGCATGTTCCCAGAGCCAATATATCCTGATTCAAACGTGTATATGAAGAAGTTTATATGGCTCATGGAGTTTTCCAAATCAGTAACTCAAGTGGCAAGCAAATTTTTAAAATTTCATAAAACTATATCTATCTTAATCTCCAACTTGAAGAGCACCATAGAGATTAGCTAGCCCTCTCATTTTTACAAATAAGGAAAATGAAGCCAAAAAGGCAATGTGACCTGTCTAAAGTCATACAACTGGTTAGCAGTAGGTAACAATCCTTTTATTCCTCCTTTTCCTTCTTCCTAAACAACCAAAATGTTCCTAATTTATGATAAGCTTTATGAACTATGGTAGCCATCTCAAAACTTTCCAAGTACCAATAATTACCATTTATTTCTGAAGAATTCAAAGTCACCTGGAACTTGAGTCACTTCTGCATGCATATTTTAAATAATAGGAAACTATTGGTTTTCCACAGAAGAATCCACAGCTAACCGTGGTAAGCATATAATCTAGGAAAATAAACCATTTTCATATTACTTATATTATCTATCCAGAACTGAATTGCTTTTTCTCTGTAGTCAACACTAAGTCTCTTCATTATTTTCTATCTCTAAGGTCTCTGCCTGGTATATATCATTAACTAAGATAAAAATATCATTTAGGCTGTTTCTTTATTAGAATAATAAGTCATTTTGGCAATAGAGCTTATTTTTAGACAGATTCTTAGGAATTCATTTTTGGCACAATACTTTAAATCAATTTTGGATTTTGTTTGCTGAATGGAAAGAAAGTTTTTAAAGATATCACAGTAGAGAAATAAGGCAAATCTAGAACTTTTGCTAACATGCAAATGTTATAAACATGGCATTTTTAAAATTAGCAATGAATAAAATGGGGCATCTGCCCAGTTGACTCTGTAGTCCACAAAGATGATAAGGACAACAAAGCAGTTCTTTCCTGACACATATCACTTGTCTTGTGATACAGGGAACATAACTTTTCTTAGAGACTGAAATTAAACTAACTTTGGAATATCTACCTTTTACTTGCAAATCACATACTGGTAGTAGATAAAACAAAGGTAAAAGCTAAATACAGTAAGATTAGTGTAATTTCTTCTGAAATACTCAAATCTCAACACACACAAAAGAAAAGAAGCACTTCCAACTAACCCAAAACAGAAAAACACATGAATCAATCAACAGCTCGAAACAACGCCTCATTTTTTTTGGCGACAACAGATATTACCACCAGTAAGAACCATTGATGAAGTTCCCAAAAGATACATACCTTCTATAAGACAGAGAATTCCCAGTGATCAAGAAGTTGTATTCCCAACAGTAACAGTATCCTTCATAATAGTCATGTCATATCCAAAACTCCCAGCGTCAAATTCTTAAATGATAATCCCAAGTGAAGGTTAGAGTCTTTCACTCCGCTTGGCCTGGCTATATCCATTGTCAGAAATGTCCAACAAGAACAATGCAGCCTGGAGGAGGTAACTTGCTAGAAAGGTATTCTAGCCATTGTCTTGCTTCCTAGATGTTGCCCATCATCATTCCGGCACCTATACAAATGAGGTATAGTTAACTTCCAATGTAAAAGCTACATATTCAGTCATCTAAAGTACTTTCAACATCACAATTTTTTTTCTCCCAAACTTAAAGAGCAAGAACCATTCTAAAACCAGTGTTTTAAAATAATAACTCAGTTTATGACTTTCTACAGTTAGATGGACACCACCACTAAACAAAGGGAGTTTTCCCAGTTATTAGCAACAAGTTCACTTTGATGCTTGATTTTGTGTCAAACTGAAGAAGTTCCCTGGAAGTAACTGCTTCGGAAAATTCTCTGCTACTGGTACAGAAGGAGAAGGGGCAGATAGTAAACTGAATAAAATGGTAATTAATCATCACCTTCTAATTTGGTTGATCCTAAAACACCCTGGTTGCTTCTGATGAGCCACTAAAATAAAAACAAATACAAACCAGAATGGCTAAAGCCCAATGCATTCCCTCAAGACCCTTCTCGAGATTCACAACTTCTGCCTGTAGGATGCCTTTCCCAAGGGCACTACTAAGAAAACGTATTCATTCAATGACAAAGCAGAATCTCAGAGTTTCCAAAACAACCAAAAAAAGTGAAATGGAGTGAGGAAAGGAGATTTTTTTTTAAAAAAGGAAAGAAAGATTTGGGGTTTTCTTGAGTTGCTAATTATTTTTCCCATTTAGTCAGGAATCTACACGGAAAAAAACGAAGTTGAGATACTTAGAAATAAAGTTAGAAAGTATTTCTTTTCCAGAGAATACCAGGCTGAAAGCCCCTGGGTGGGAATCGCCTTGCGAGCCAGGAGAGGCATTCATTACTAGCCATCCCTTTCTCTCGGGCGTGGCAGACAGAAACAAAAGGTTAAGGTGCGAAGGCGGGGCGAATGGGCTAGTGGGAGCCTCTGGAGCTTCCATCCCTTTTCTGTACATTCAAGTTAAACAGATGCTTTGAAAGTTTGGGCGTTGGGCGGTGGGGGGAGGATATGGGGACTGGAGTAAAGGGGAAGGGGTGCGGATGGGCGACAACAATTACATCGGTTATTCTGGATGAGTCAGGCAACTGGAAGGGATGGGAAGGCCGCTTTGAAAAAGCCTTTGGTCCACTCTGTCACCCTCTTTCATCCCTTTCCTTCTCACTGCGCAGTACCTGGGGCAGCTACTCCCCACCCCAAACTTTCGGAACTCTCCATCTATTCACTGCAGTCCCCTCCCCCCCCCCTTACAGGCAACATTCCAAGCCCAGAAGGACCACATGCACCGGACCCTCTTCTTCCCTCTTGAATCCTATTGTTGTTGGCCCTTGTTTGCATTGTACTTTGAGTTCGCAAAGCGCTCCGCAGACAGCAGTTATAGAATGCCAAGATTAAATGCTCCTCGCCCCAACCTTATCTCTTTCTCGGGCTACGTGCCCTCCCCCTAGTTCCGCCGTGTCCCAACAAAATTAAACTTTCCCAAATTAGGGACATTTAAGTCTGTTATACCCAGGGGTAGGGGGCATAGAAGAATGGGGGTAGCAAAGGGACAGGACACACTTCAGATGAGCAATCCTCAAAGCAATGCATAAAGAGCAAAGTTGGACTGGCTTTTGCTTATTAAAAACAAAACAAAGAACCTAAATCTTGCATGTTTGTGGAAGGAACAAAAGAGAAGAGAGTTAGGGAGAGAAGATACAACTTACCAACAAAACTTTGCCACTTATGACTTCTCAGTTCCCAGCAGGGCAGGGCGGGGAGGGGTTAGAGGTAGTGGGAGACTGGCCAGATAAGGGAAAAGAAAAAGAAGAGATAAACAAGGAAAGAAACTCACCTTCTTCTCCCCCCTCTTTTATCCATTTTAAAAGAGATGGTTCTCTAACTCCAGTTCCTAAAGCCCCCGAATTTGTTGGGTGCCTAGCACTGGAGAGAGTCTCTCCAGCAAAGTTGTGAGAGGAGAGATAACCAGGCGTCAGAGGAGGAGGATGGAGAGAGTTCATCAGAGTTTCCCCTTTTGTTCCAAGTCCCCGAGCAGACAAAGAGCCGGCGAGCGGCAGCAGGTTTCTCCCTCTCACCCCCTTCTTCCTCTTTCCCTCCCTCACTCTCCTCCCCGCCACCCTCCCTCTTCCCCACATCATCCAGCCCCTGAGTGTAGCCAAAGAAGCAACTCAGGTCTGCCTCTGTCCTCCCCTATTTTCTTCAGTCTATTACCACTGCAACTTTCCCCGCAACCCGCGTTTTCTATGACCTCTTCTTCAAAACTTCCCTCTAAGTGAACATTGTGCCTCTCCCCTCCCTCCCCAGCCCTCTCGCCAAGCCTCTCGCCCTTCCCTCCCTTTCCCTCCCGTCCTCAATAAAATTAAGGGGGGGGGGACTCTGAAATCATTATTTCCGGTAGATGCACCTCTTTGTCTGGATTCCCCCCGACAGTCAATGAGAACAATCCCCCCTGGTATCGGATTTCGGCCAGTTTTTTATCATCCCAGGGGACCAAATGCTGAGTGGGAGAAAAACCAAATACAGAAAGATAAAACTGCATAAGCAATAAGGGGAGAATGGAAGCATATTCTCCCAACTTCTAGACTCGCCCCCCCATCTCACACACAAACACACGCACACCCCAAACACGCCCCCTGTCCTGCTCTCCCTAAAGAAAAATGCTAAAGGAGCAAGAAGGTTTGAAAAGTAGGATGGCTCCCGCCTCCCCCTTCCCAGTCCCCTTTACTTTGGAAGGACCTAGCGATCTTCAGAACAAAGCCCGTACCACAGTTGCCCCGCAGCTACAGCAGGGACCCCTCCACCCCACTCTCCATCCCTTTCTGGATACCTGTTGCTCAAGTAGCCGCTGAGATCCGACAGGCTTCGCAGTTCGCAAAATTCCAGCTACTCTTCCAACCCCGCGCCCCTCACCCTTTTCCATTATTCCCCCTCAAACTTCAGCCAGTAATGAGAGGATTCTCTTTTAAAGTACACAGTTCTCAACTCCTGCTCGCGGGACCCGTACCCCCCAGCCTTAGTCCTTCAATGCTGAGGCGCTAACAGAGTTGTTCTGGTCACAAAGGGACAAGTCCTAAGCGTCCTCCCCCAGCCTCCCTTCCCACCCCTGTACATCCTCAGACATCATCCCCACTAGCTCCCACTTGCCCAAGGGCAAACTAGGCATCCATGAACTGGACGTTTGCCTGACCTTCCCTCTGCTTTTCCCACCCTTGGGCTCAATCTCTACTCCGTACAGTGTAGACGAAGGACCCCTGCCTCAGTCCTACCCCTGTCCCTTAATTGCTCACCCCAACGCAACTAGGCTACCTCCCTGAGTAAGAGTGAGTACAGGGCTAACTTTGCTCCCCCGATTTTTGAAAAGGCAATGAAGTAGAGTGGGATGCAGGGATGTGGTGCGGTAGGAAGGGGGTGAGGGTGGAGAAACAATTTCGTAACAGGAGGAAAGAATTCTCCAAAGCAAATTGCCACTCACCTTCACGGAGGTGTCATGCACATACCTTCACCCCGCCCCCCGCCCCTTTCCTCTGAGCTCCCGGATCTTTCGTGTGCGGTCTGATTTGGGTGCGTGCGTACTTTTCGAGGATCTGTGGACAGTTTTGTTTGGTTTAGTTTTCTTGAGGGGGTGGAATGGATTTTTGAGATGGGACGGCGTAAGGAAAGTGGGGAGGGGGTGGAAAGGCAAGAAAAGGGAAAGGGGGAGTAAATGTTAATTGTTGCTTTCTAGACGTCTTCACTCCAGCTCACTCTGTCCCACTGCTTGGTTCAGTGACTTTCCAAAGGTCTCTCCCCTAAAGCAGAACAAAGAAGCTGGGAAGAGCTCGGTTCTCCCTCTCCTCAGCTATCTAATTTTCACGTGCTCATGAATCTTTGCAACTTTACTACCTAACTTCCACTGGAGTGCCGGAGAGCGCTCAGAGTTATGTTATCCTCCCCGCGCATCCCAGACAATAAACGCCCCTACCTCCCGCGCTCCAATGTCTGACAATGGAAGGATCGCGGAGAGAAGTCGAAAGTATGGGGCGGGGTGGAGGTGGGGGCGGGGGGCGCGATGCTACAAAAAGTTGCAAGAAGAAGCAACTAATCTCCCTCTTGCCAGTTTCAACGCGAATATTTCCTAAATTTGGGTTGATGTGCGGGGGCAGGGAGGAGGGAGGAGAAAGAATTGTTCATCAGATGAAAAGACAGAGGTGTGTGTGCGTGTGTGTGTGTGTGTGTGTGTGTGTGGTGTGTGTGTGTGTGTGTGTGTGTGTGTTAGCTCCAACGTTGCTGTGCACGGATCCCGCCCCGTCGGGACTTTAGCAAGGGAGAACAACAACCCTGAAAGGATAAACTACTGGAGGTGGGAAACTTCACTTTACTATTACCGACCCAACCCCCAAACTTGTGAAAAGATAGTTAAAGCCCCTGCAGAATCCTGCCGCCAGTAAAGTCCTTTTATTGGAGTTAAAAGTTCTCCTGGCCAGCCACCTTTTAAATTAAGGTTCAGGCTCCTTTAGAATCCTGATTTCTCCTTATTAACTCATTCCAGTCACCTTAATGCTGTAAAACTTCTAAAGAAGGAAGGACAGGGGTATATGGCCATAACTCCCTCCCATCTTTAAAAATGACCATCCTTTGGTAAATTCAGGCCAACTAAGAAGACTTATTTGTCAAGAGTACAGAAGTTATCTTGCTCCAAGGAATATTTCCATAAGTTCTCCAGTTCCTTCCTCTTCATTTGATAAGATCTATGTGAGAATGAATGATCAATCTAGAAGGAAATTACTGTTCTTCCCCTCCCAACCCCCCACAAAAAGTTTATTGAGGAAATGATCCGACAAATCTTCTATGATCTAAACGATGCCCAGTCCTACAATGATTTCTAATGGTTTAAGATGTTGATGCTCTTAAAACACCTCTTGTCTGAGCTTTATAGCTTCTCTCCCTTTCCTTCTACCCCTCCCCCACCTCGCGGGCCAAACGTCCTTTTGCTGAGTAAAAGGTGCTGCTTTGATTAGTATGGATTCAAAAAAGGCTTTCCCTTTCCCATCCTCCTCAGAGAGATAGCAGGGAATAGTGGCCTATCCTTCTGTATATACTTAGAAGTCAGAAGACCCAGGTTCTAGTCCTGACCTTAACACTTACCAGGCATGTGACAGACTGGTGTGACAATGTGTTGGTTTCAAATGTGTCCTTGTTTGAAGTTACAAGCACAACTATTTTGGAAATCACAATACAGGAAACATCCACATAAGAGATTTAGTTGAGACTGAAGAAGACTCTGAGTTGCCCTGCTCAGATACCCATGTTTTTCATCATTTAATGAAAATTTACAAAATAAAATACAGTGGGAAATAACCTTGTTTCTGACATGCTAAATCGCAGAAGAGTTGGACTTTAACATTCTTATATCTGAAACACCTTTCTTCAGATTTGATGCAGGGGAAAAACAATACAATGGGGGGTAATAAAAGTGCCACTTTTTATTTTTCTTGAGTTGGAAGAGATTTAAAAGGCATTTAACCCGATTTCTTGTCACAGTGAAGGACAGTGATAAATTCAGACTATACAAATCAATCCCCTCCAGTGTTTATATGAATGAATGAATGAAAATTAAGTATTTACTATATACCAAGCACTATACTAAGCACTGGGGATATGGAGAGACAATCAAGCTCATTCCTGTTCTCAAGGTGCTCACATTTCTAAGTAAGGAACACAATACATATATGAAGGTGCAGTTGCAGGGCATATGGAAAGCCCCAGTGGTCTTTAGGGTTAGCAGCAGAGTAAATGGCAAGGACAATTACATATGAACTATTCTTTAAGATTTCTACTGAGGAAAAAACTTTCTATTAAATAACTCTGCTAAAAGTCTGATGTACAAAAATCTATACAGACATGACATAAATATATGCTTAAGATTGATTTCCCAACAGACAAGTGGTCAAAGGACATGAACAATTAATTATAAAAGAAAGAATTCAAACTATCAAATGTCACCTGAAAAATACAAAATTAGAAAAATTTAAATTACAACATCTTAGATACCACTCACTTAAAAACCTTCAAGGTAAGTAAGATATTAAAGATTGGAAAATTCATTGTTGGAAGCTGCAGTGCTAATTCCCTGCTGATGGGGCTGTGAATTGACTCAAAAGTTCTAGAGAACAATTCAAAATTATGCAAAGAAAGTGAGTAAATTGTTCATACCCCTTGACCCAGAGATTTCATTACTAAGACAATATACCCTAAGGAGATTACTGATAGCAAGAAGAAAAAACCCTGTGTATAAAAGTGTCCATAGTACCATTATTTGTAACAACAAAGAGCAAAGAGTTGGAAACAAAATATGTTTATCTGAGGAATGGTAAACAAATTATGGAATATAAATGCAATGGAATATTATTGCATTGTAAGTAATTATGAATATTAAGAATTCAAATAAACAAAGGAAGATTATGGAAAGACAAAATACAGAAAATATAGGAAAAAGGATACAATACGCAATGATAACAACGATGAGAATGAAGTCAGCATAGAAAGGCATGGAGCATTAAAGTTAATACCATACTGCCAAAGTGAAAAGACAAACCTTTTCTTTGTGTTAATAACCCATAATGTTTTCTGTCTCAGGAACCGAACTTTGGAAATGGGATTATTATGGCATTTGTTAGAAATTATCTATTGATTTGGAATTATGCAAGAAAAGTTTTTAAGTGTCAGTGCTCTTTGTATCAACAATGTATCTCAAATACAACAAAGGCCAAAAAAAAAAAAGGAATGGTCCCTTAAATACTGAGATGTTCGTAGTCTTCTTTTTGTGGTAGCCAAAAAAAAAAACTGGCCATCAGTTGAGAAAAGGTTGAGCAAATTGTGGTAATTAATATAGCAGGATTATTTTTGTGCTGTAAGAAAGGATGAACATGATCAGTTCAGAGAAACAAAGGAATGCTTGTACAAAATGATGCAGTCAACTAAGCAGTACCTGGAGAATAATGCATATAAGGTGTAAGTAAGGCAGCATCATGGTGCAGCGGGGA